GGTCACGTGATAATCACCATGGTCACGTGATAATCACCATGGTCACGTGATACTAATAATCACTATGGTAAAAATACCGGGACAGTTCTGCTATCCAGTGCAGGGTGCTGCAGGAGGGTGCTCACCCAACTTCACTGTTGTATCATGGAACCCTACAATCTCATCGAATGCAGTGTCACCTATTACCGTGTTACGAGTGCCAGAGCCGGAGGGTCACTGAAAGAACCCTCTGTTTGTGACATTCAGGGTGAGTGTAGGTTTATCAACCCTTATCTCTCGCATTCCTATACGACAGGTTACAGGTCTGGTGGGCAGGTTATTTTAGTATATGTGGAGTCAGTGCAGGAGTACCGTGCCTTATACTTTTATAGGTTTTACGTGACATGGAATATTCATCAGAAATACCTTAGAGTTAGATCACGCCTCCCAAATACTTTATATTCCTCAGAAGGTTAACATAGTTACTATGAATAGCAGCCCGATGATGGAGATAACATATGTGTTATATTAGGGTCTGCACAGGGACCAATCAGAGGGGGTGAGAGGGTCACGTGACGAATTGATAGGCTTTCTGAGGCAGGAGAACTTAAAACGAACTATAATGTCCTATGTGTTTAGGAGTTGTCGCACTTGACGCGCACTTTCTTTCATCTATTAGTTTTGCATACCTCATGCTGACTCCTGCTCTATCCCCTGCATGCCTCCAGCTACCTACAGGTGTGGAGGCTACACTGCAGGCACTGTGTTGCATTGTCAGGGCTGCAGCAGCTTGTATCCGTATTATTTAATATTTATAGCTGTGATCACTGCTCGGTTATATCATATCTGCAGGTGGGTGAGCTGCAAGGTACGGCGCAGAGCAGAACGGCGATATTGATAAAGCTGCACAGATCGTTGCTTTCACTTAGATTGCATAACCTAGGCGGTCGTGGGTATTGCGATTTGTTAGCTTGTCAGGGGGAAAAACGGAAACTCCGATTTATTATTTTCGGGTTTTCCGTGGGTCAATTAAATGTTTGCCTAAGGCGGTGAATATCTTAGCGCCATGAATGACACCCATCTCACTAACAATATTGTAAGAATTGCAGGTGTGTTTGTTGGATATGGGCGTGTGCATACCTAGGTCAAGAATAATTTTATGACGAAGTTAAGTTCTAATGATCTTGCAACATGCCAGAGTAGTATGGTATAGTCACGTGCCACTCCTTATATGGTAGTCACGTGCCACTCCTTATATGGTAATCACATGCCACTCCTTATATGGTAGTCACGTGCCACTCCTTATATGGTAGTCACGTGCCAATCCTTACATGGTAGTCACGTGACATTTGCCCGAATAGTTCTGCAGACTGCACAGTGCACCGTCGCGGATCGGTTGATAGCATTTTGCATATTTACCTTAATTTAATTCTTTGCAAAAAAATGCAAAAAGATAAATATAATTTACAGCTTTGTTTAGTGAGCGGGATTATCGACAAATAATGAACAATAACAAATAATTGCTAAATTGGTTTAGTCGCCATGAAAGACCTGGTAGAAGCTAACTGTAAATCCATCATTTTATTAGATTAGTTCAAGTAAAAGCATTGAAGCATTAAGGTGAGGTTTAATCGACCTAGTTACAATGAGACGTTAGTGGCGGGATTAAAACGTAGAATTGTGCGGAGTGAGCTGCTTGAACTTCTCAACACGTACATATGAGAAGCTGATAAAGCTAGGATCATACCTCTCTGATCAAGTTACCACGTACTATTCAGAAGAACATTAATCTTTATAAATAATAAAAGAACAAGCTTTATACGTTGCTTCCCACGATGAGAATAAAATAACACCATCTAAACTAACACCTACCGTTCTCGAGTTACGCGGTTCTCTCTCAGACTGTTCTCCCAGTACGGACAAAAGTAAAAGATTGATAAAAAGAGCCTGCCAAATGTTTATGTATTTGTCAGTGATTTAACATGATAACATGGGAAAGTAAGGGCGTTTGAGGTTTCTGGCCTGATTGGGTAATTTGGTGCTAATTATACAATGATGAGCTTAATCTGATAAGAGTGAGAATCCTAAATTATGTTTTACTGATAACAGTCTTGAATTCAAATGAAATTCTCCGAATTCTTTGGTGGGGCCAGTTCCTTCTGAGGAATATTAAGCCCGGGTTTTAGATTAGGGACTGAAAAGTAAAACTTTGGAAACAAACAGATAAAATGATAAATGTGATATAGTTCTTAATTCTCGACTGGGAGAGTAGAGCGATTGATATTTTAGTGTCAGAACTTGAAAAGGCAGTAAACCATCAATCAGGAAAAAGTTGGTGGGCGGTTTTACTCCTATCATTAAAGATTTTTAATAGATCCATTAATATTACAATTTTACTTTACCTCATCTGTCATACTCATAATCTTTGTTGGTTATAATTTTGCTCGGTCATAATTTTCAAAACTATTTTACGAAGCATGCATCATCCTCAACGGATGAATTATTTTTCTCGATGAATATTTATCATTCAATTATACCATAGAAGAACTATATTCACTGTCTGCCGATAAATAATTTGTCGTCTACTACACCTAACGTACGGGGTGTGTTGCAGAATTTTGTAGCAGAATTTTGTAGCATTTTGCTGAGTAAAAACGGGCGGAATTATTGTTTACTGATTAATCATTAAAACTATTCATAATGTCGACGTGAGCTGTTAGCGTCATCGTCTAGTACGAGGTATAATGAATTTCTGCAAGACTATAATCTTGTAATCTAGAGTGAGACGTTCGATTATAGAATCATCAATTACAATTGGACTCAACGACTACTCCTTAATATTGACGTTAATATTATATTTATGAACATTATGCCTGGAATGATTATAATAAATTACAATGTCCTTAGCAGTTAACAGTAACACTGTAAAAATGCGAGGTTACTCTGAAGGGAGACAGAGTTTTTCTATACTTTTCACAGAATAATGCAATGAAAACGGACAACTAATGGAAAACTCACGTCGCAGTAAATCGGACAATAAAACACAATCAAACGAAATAATTAATAAATGTAAGCATCCTGAAAGAAGTATATTTGCGTATAACAGCACTTAGCAATAAACAGCAACCTCGCATATTCTAACATATGAAACCAGAACCGGACGCAGCCGCTGGGTAAATTTATTACCGTCTGCAAGAAATTACATAAATGTGCAGGTAACCGTGCAGAGTGAAAATTTTAGAAAATTAAACAGGCAAAAATTAGTTCAATTACCAAACATGGGACTAAAATTTGGGGAGTCGCGTGACCAATGACCATGGATACTGGATTGTGAGTGGTTGGTGACGTGAATAGTTTGCCCTGATTGGCTGGTTAGTAGGTCACGTGGTGGTGGATTACGTAAATTGTGATTGGTCTGGGAGGTCATCTGCCACGATGATGCAATGGGTTAAACTAGAAACAGATAAGGGTTTTTTGCGTGTATTTTAATGTGACGCTATGTATGGGAATATCTGAATATTTTGATATCTTCAGGAATTCAGCAAGATTTTAGAGTATTATAATCCTAACCAATTCGTCTAAAATTCTAAATTCCCGTAACGAAAACCAATCTGCGCTATCTGACGAGTCAAATGGAAGTTCATCATGATTGTTTCTCATTTCTTTCACTATTTTCACCACACATTTCAAAATTTAATGTGAATAATCCTCAATTATGAATCATGATGCACGTTTATTATTCCCTGTTTTTTTTACCACAAGTCACGTGACACCACATAAATAGCCAATATTATCACGTGACTGAATAAACAGCTCTGAGTGGTTGCTTAACTTGTGCTCTAATTGGCTTGTTACTGAATCAGGTTTATAAACACTCCCTGTTACAGTAAAACCCCGATTTACCGTGGAGTTTGGGGCAAGGAAAAATCCGCGGTAAATCAGGGTTTGCGGGTATCGGGGTTTTGTTACTGTTAGAGTGTTAGTTTACATTGTGCATGTTAAGCCCTATTTGGGGGAAGGAAATGGCCGCGGTAAATCGGGGTTTGCGGTAAATCGGGGCGCGGTAAATCAGGGTTTTACTGTAATATAATTTTCATTATCATATCAGAGAGCACAAACTCCAGATATTTACTGTAACGTGTTACGCTATCATTAGTTACACACAGAGAGAGAGAGTGGCTCAGTGATCAGCGTTATTTTGGTATCTTATCATTGGATTATACACCTACTCCTGCGCTTTACACATGAAGATGAGTCTGTCTACAACTCCCCTGCGACATGTTATGTAGTAAAAGGATTGTCTGCTTTTTAGAGGAGTATAGTGATTCTATTGATAGAATCCCAGGGTGGTGTCAGAGTAAGGTTAATAACATCACAATCATTAAGTGCAGGGTATAAATACATTGTCAGCCAAGTTTCACGGTCTCGTTTACTTAAATCACCGGAGTTTTAACAAAGACACAATTAAATCATAACACTGATTCTCCCTGGAGTATCGCAATAAGGCATCGACTTATTATATTTACCCTGATATTTATATTCACCCTAATGCAATGCTCGAGGTCTTCGATCCCTAGGATGATTTAACTATTTAACGACTTTTGTCATGACTTTTTATCAAAGGTCTACCTTAAAGTTAACCTAGTCTCAAGTCTACAAAAAGCCATAATAAAAGATAACAAAGCCCTGAATCTCTCTGTAAAAGAACTATTTAGTCTCAAACAAGTCTAAAAATATCCGTTATCGATAATTCAAAGAATTTACCGGCAAAATCTAATAATACGCCTGTATTTCAGGTTGAACATATTTGCTAGGTTGCAGTTTGCAGCTGTAACACTACCGTGAACCTCATTAACAAAGATATTATGATTAATTAGCTCCAAATGTTATGTCATTACCTCACCACAGAGCTTTACAAGTCACGTGGTAATTTATATTCAAATGTTGAAATGTTGAAATATTGAAATGTTGAAATGTTGAAATGCTGTGGAGCTGGTACATTCTTCAAAAATTAGCGTGTATCACTGCCATGCCAGGATCAGCAGACAGGTGTGCAGTGTAGTTGACCACGCCCATCCAACCTTATAAGCTTCGTCTGAAAGTATGGGGTGTTATGCTGTTATTATATGACATTCAACTAACCATGTGCTTTTGCACCACTGCGGGCGCGATTGTTTCACAAGTAGGAGGCGGGCGCGCGCTACTGCAAGCGCAATGGCTCTGGTACGGTTAGAGCAATATATGACATAATGTATTTATAGTCCACACCCTGGCTCCAACAACAAACAACTCAGCAACAATGTCTGAAAGTCGTAAGCAGACTACCAGTCAAGCAGACTATCCATTTATAACTTTATAAAAAGGTTCTGCAGATGGCAGGATGGCTTTTACTAATTCGCTCGCCCAAAAATTTCACGTGACTTTTGAGCTATTCATAACCCTTACCACTATACTAGGGGGTGCACTATAAACATAAACTCATGCTCGGATTTTAAAATTGTTGTACCACTGTTTTCTAGAGACTGTAAGAATTTTCACAATACCAAATTTGTCATACCTTTTTGGAAAAATCAGTGAGTTTCGCCTAGGTGCCATATTTGATGGTGCGCGGCTTTTGGAACAAAAGTAGCTGTAAAAATGTGTAAAAGTCGCGTAATTTGACCAAATTCGTTGATTTTTATCGTATTATTCGGATATATCTTCGGTTCCTTGAATGAGATCATTCTGAAAATTGGCGACAACCTTCCAATAGGGCTTTCACAACTGTAGCTGTCCGAAAAATTTGGTGGATATCGAAGTTGATATAGTGTTCCAAATGGAGCAAAATACGCTGCTTTCAGCTGTAACATAATGTCTGATAGTGATGGTTGGATATGCTTTAAACTTTTCGGACACTTTCCTTGTAAGTCTATGAGTAGGTAGTGCGCCATCGACAGTGAGCCGCGCGTGCCGACTGTAGGATGGTTTTTTAGCGCTAATTTCGGCCAGCACAATTTTCTTCAATCAAATAGATATTAAGTATCCTTCCGACCTCCGATTGCAACAAAAATTGGTAAGCTTACTCATAGACTTACAAGGAAAGTGTCCGAAAAGTTTAAAGCATATCCAACCATCAGACATTATGTTACAGCTAAAAGAAGCGTATTTTGCCCCATTTTGATCACTATATCAACTCCGATATCCACCAAATTTTTCGGACAGTTGTAAAAGCCCTATTGGAAGGTCGTCGCCAATTTTCAGAATGATCTCATTCAAGGAACTGAAGATATATCCAAATAATCAATAATACGACAAAAATCAACGAATTTGGTCAAATTTGGTCAAATTACGCGACTTTTACAGCTAATTTTGCTCCAAAAGCCGCGCACCATCAAATATGGCACCTAGGCGAAACTTACTGATCTTTCCAAAAAGGTATGACAAATTTGGTATTGTGATAATTCTCACAGTCTATAGAAAACAATGGTACAAAAAATTTTGAAATCCGAGCAAGTTTATTTTTATGGTGCACCTCCTACTATGAGTAAGTTTACCCATTTTAGTTGCAATTGGAGGTCGGGAAGGATACTCAATATCTATTTGTTTGGAGAAAATTGTGCTGGCCGAAATTAGCGCTAAAAAACCATCCTACAGTCGGCACGCGCGGCTCACTGTCGATGGCGCACTGTACTACCTATTACCACAACCCTAACCCTAAATCGAGCCCTAAACAATCGAATTCATGTTTTACTAGCCTGTCACGTGATTGAATTTGATTCACGATGTCAATCCTTCGCATCTCGCCGATCTGCATACGGGTTGCGAGAAGATGCGCGGCGCGGCCCAGTAGTGCATAACGCTACAAGTCACGTGACCAAAACGGTTTTTTGCCCATAACTCTCCAGGGAAGCATTTTTACCCTACGTCATGGGAGATAATTCGGAATCAGCGTCCAAAATACACCGCGACCGATTTAGATCAATTTCATACCCAAAGGGCTTTTTCACAAGAATTTTATTAATGATTAAAATTTGGGCGAGCGATTTAGTTGTATCACGCGGTGACCCACACTGCCGCTTCACTATAGTGGTCTGTAGCGTCTGTAGCGTCTGTAGCGTGGCCTGTAGCGTCTACGACGCTACAGGGGGAGCCGCGCACTTCGTGCGCGGCGGGTCATACAACGTATGACAACGATTTAGTAGGAGCGCCTGCAGATGGGAGACTGCCAAGATTCAGGTACTGAATTACATATTAGCAGTGCGACAAACCTGCAAAATCGACGCTGTCGTACTTCATGCAGTGCGCTACCTGAACTAGACTGCATGTAGTGAGACACGAATTGGTTGACGATGTCAACCCATCGAGATCGTTGCTCTGCGAAGCAGAGCAACGATCGAAGCAAGAATGCTAGTTCGCGCGAAGAATGCTAGTTTGTAGTTCGAGCGAAGCAAGAATGCTAGTTCGCGTGGCGCGTCGAAGCGGCGAAGTCCTCCAAGACACAAACTGAAGTGCGACAGATTATTTTAAAGTCCGACACATGATCGAGAGACTGCCAAGTCCTCAAAAAATCTCGACAGACTGTCATGTCAGTTTCAAGTTCACGTTTACTGGGCCGCGCTCAGCCTGTCATTCCGCCAAATCTTTATGTTAATGAACATAATAGCCTGGGGTCCTCAGGTAAGTTCACGTACGAGTGAATTTGGGAAATTTCAAAGTCCACGATCGATAGTATTTTATTATCATAAAATACCAAATCGATGACAAATGTAAGTTTACAAAGTCTAATCTGTCAGTCGTCGTAAAGATGTTTGGGCAACTTCAATCCAGTTTTCCAACTCAACCACGCGCGCACCGCACCGGACTCTGTCATGTACCGGACTCTGCATGCAGGGTACGATTGCAAACAAACATCAAACATGAGTTTTTCGTCTATTTATTTATAGTTACTAGTCAGTGCACATGGTGAATTGGTTATTGCTCTAACCAGAGCCCTTTCTCTTGCAGTAGCGCGCGACCGCCGAAAGCGGCACAGGATTATTCTACTTGTGAAACAAGCGCGTCACGCAGTACGCGTAGACACATGGCTATGTGAAAATTGGTTATTGTATAATATAATTAGTATAACGGCTAGCTCCGCATACGTTTCAAGTTCACCTAACCATGTGCTTTCGCGCCACTAGCTGAGGGCGCGCTTGTTGCACCAAACGGTGGCGTGCGCGATACTAGCTGCAAGCGCGCAGAAAGAGCTTTGCATGTGGAATGGTTAGAGCAACGTTTCAGGTACCTCTTGCGTCCTTTAAATATGTTCAAAAAACAAAAAGGTTTACACCTCTAAGTCTAACTAACTGATGATATTGTCGTCAGGCTCTTCAGTCGGCCCATCCTCAGTTGTCGGTTCAGGATCCATTCTTAATGGTTGAACGTTCTTCCGTCGAGCGGCCGTAGTGGCATAGTTTCCTTGTTTATAATACTGGCATGTAACAAATGCTCCACGTGCAGAGCTAAATGCAAAACCACAGTTTACTTCGCTAGTTAATACCCACACTACCTGTATAGTAGCAGGTGAAATAGTTGTATTCTGTAAGTGTAATGTAATTATTAGAACTGTGATAAACCAAATATAAAGCAATTTGATATTGATTATATAACCAAACATGCAATTGCAAAATAAAATAAAAATAAAATGAAAATGTGTCATGATCCTAGCAAATATTATATTTTGACGTGCATTTGTGATTTGCATTATTACTATATGTAGTTTACCGACTAGGCGCGCTTGCCGCTTATCCCTATTATGTAAGGATCACTATATATATAATATAATATTAATTGACGATGTCAATTCATCGCAGCTCGGCGAGGCACAGTAGCGCATTTCGCCGATCTAGCTGTGAGAAGCCTCATTGAGTGTGCGGCGCGGCACAGTAACGCATCGCGCTACAATATATAAGTATATAATATGGAAGAAAAGGATAATAATTTGCCTGCATTTGCCAAATTGTTAATTCATAAACTACCCCCGAACCCGACGCGCGCTAGGTTGTATAGTATAATCAAATATTTTGAAAAAAAAAGCGACGCTACTTTAAAAAAATTAAACGAATTTTATCCGCGTCAACATAAAAATTTTCGTAATAATTTAATGGTTACCTTCATGCGCACAGTTCAACGTTTTAACCCAACATACTAATATACCATACTTTATACTCATTATCTTATTATTTATATACCATATACTATATGTTTTGATTCTTAGTCCTTAGTATGGAAGCGCATGTGTGTCAAAAAAAAATGATACACATGCGCTTCCTAGGTAGCGTATGTGTGTCAAAAATTTTTTTGATACACATGCGCTAGCAGGTTTATCATGTAAATCATTATGTGGCCCATGTGTGTCATTTTTGTAAAATTGCTGTAAAATCTCTATTGATCAATATTCTAATCGCTATCTTGATCTATTGATATATGTATTTTATCCTTATCTCTATTTTATCTTTAAACTCCTCTCCGCCGATCGCCTCCCGTGTGAAACGAGCACGCCTGCACGCTGCAGTGGCGCGAAAGCACATGGTTACAGGTTAGGTTAAAGCGCGTGTACTGTTGCTGCACAGGCTATAATGTTAACTGACGATGTCAATTCATCGCAGCTCGGCAAGGCACAGTAGCACATTTCACCGAATTAGCGTTGCAAGAAGAATAATCAATAATTGAATGCGCGGCGCGGCACAGTAACGGATCGTGCTACAAGCTATAATATTTATAAACATACTCATTGGAGAATGGAGCTATGGAGGAATGAAGCTGCCTGCTGCGCGTAGCATGACAGCTACCAAGAATTGCATATTGAAGCGTGTACGCCGACGCATGACAGGCAAGCTCCTGTGTCCTGGTTTCGTGCGCGAAGATCGAAATGCAATTATTCGTGTATCAAGTCAACTGCCAAGTGCCAACAATGTGTTTATTGTTAGAAATGATAATGGACTAACCCGTTTCGGGATACTTCGTAGCAACTAGCAAGCTTGCCGCGCATCGATCTAATAATGCTTCTCGTTGTAAGGCCACCTTGTTTGTCGTTAGATATAGGCAAAATGCACCCAGCACCCCTGTGCCCTGCGGACCTCGCTGAGCCATGCTATGCAAAGCGAAAAAGCAAAGACTCAATGGATGGTTATATTAGTGGTTACCCATACCGTAATGGGTGCTACATGCCTAGCATGAAATATTTACTTACTTACTTGAACTTAATTTTTGTATTATATGTTCATAATCATATAAATTCGGCGGAATGACAAGCTTGAGGCTGAGCGCGGCCCAGTAAAATTCGCATCAAAAAATCCAAACGAGTAACATCCGTCAACTAATAGTTATATGTAATAATTGAAAACAAACTTTGCTTGTTTACCTGAAATTAGAATTTTATACAATTAATGTAAGATCGAAGTCGTGTTTTTACCAATTTCCCTACACCATCCGGTAAATTAATTACCCTCAGCCCTTCGTTGTGCCTGTGGGCTGCGCGGTCGTATCGTGGCTTTCGCCACGGTATAGCGGGGGCGAAATGAATTACAAATGAGGATCGCGACGCGTGACTTGTAAGTTTATAACCTACCAGGACGCGCGCCGAGTTGGACTCGTCGACGGTCCTGATTAATATTTGAAGCTCAAATATTTTACGACTACAAGTATCAGTGATACTATCACCCGTTAAAGAAAGGATTGGAAATTGAACTCGCCGGTACGTCGACGGATGATGCTTGTCTAAATTTTTTCGAAGTAACACGAAAAACTTTCTTTTCGAAGCGAAATGTTTGTGTTACTGGGCGGCGCTCAGCCTGTTTCTTTTCAATGTCATTCCGCAACCCACAACCGTTTATCATTTACGAACGAATAAAAAACAACGTCAATATTTTACATGTCACAGTTAGCTGGCAGTACGGCCCAGTTAATAAATTGTGCATCGCGCCGATCAAGAAAAAAAACATTATTTGATGCGCTGATCAGTCTTCTAAGACTAATAATATAAAACATCGTTTCTTTTGTCCGTAATTGCCTGTACTGCGTGAAAATTACAAAATAATTACAGCACATTTACAAAATAAGAATAATAAAAAAGAAAACGTGTTTTCTCGTTTATAATTCATAATTATTTTTAGAATAACGCTTTATTGTTAATGCAATCATAGTGGTCAGCTAGTGACGTGGCTATGACGCCTTTTTCTTACATGGTTATGACATCAGACATGGTTATGACATGGTTATGACATGGTTATTACATGGTTATGACATGGTTATGACATGGTTATGACATGGTTATGACATGGTTATTGGCTATGACATGGTTACAACCAAAACTCCTTCAGACCAATTTTGAACCATTATGAGCACTTTCAGGATACAATTCATTTCCGTTCATTTCCGTTCATTTCCGTTCATTTTATGAACCTGGGTCATTTTGTGCGACTTTTGAGGCCTAGTTTATGACACTATCTATCATAGAAAACCGAATTAGGGGTTCCCAGCCCTTACGTAATAAGTCTCAAATTTAAATGACACACATGCGCCACCTATTGATTTACATGATAAACCTGCTAGCGCATGTGTGTCAAAAACAAAAGTGACAGACATGCGCTACCAGGTTTATAATGTAAATCAATAGGTGGCGCATGTGTGTCATTTCAATTTGAGACTTATTACGTAAGGGCTGGGAACCCCCAATTCGGTTTTCTATGATAGATATTGTCATAAGCTAGGCCTAGAGGTCATCGAAAGTCGCACAAAATGACCCAGGTTCATAGAATGAATGAATTGTATCCTGAAAGTGCTCATAATGGTTCAAAATTGGTCTGAAGGAGTTTTGGTTGTAACCATGTCATAGCCAATAACCACGTCATCACCATGTCATAACCATGTCATAACCATGTCATAACCATGTCATAACCATGTCATAACCATGTCATAACCATGTCATAACCATGTCATAACCATGTCATAGGGTGGTCCTAGGGCCAACCAAACTCTTCAGACCAATTTTGAACCATTATGAGCAATTTTGGGATACAATTCATTTCCGTTCATTTCCGTTCATTTCCGTTCATTCTATGAACCTGGGTCATTTTGTGCGACTTTCGATGATCTCTAGGCCTAGCTCATGACACTATCTATCATATAAAACCGAATTGGGGGTTTCCAGCCCTTACGTAATAAGTCTCATATTGAAATGACACACATGCGCCACCTATTGATTTACATTATAAACCTGGTAGCGCATGTCTGTCACTTTTGTTTTTGACACACATGCGCTAGCAGGTTTATCATGTAAATCAATAGGTGGCGCATGTGTGTCATTTAAATTTGAGACTTATTACGTAAGGGCTGGGAACCCCCAATTCGGTTTTCTATGATAGATAGTGTCATAAACTAAGCCTCGAAAGTCGCACTAAATGACCCAGGTTCATAGAATTAGAATGAACGAAATGAACGGAAATGAACGGAAATGAATTGTATCCTGAAAGTGCTCATAATGGTTCAAAATTGGTCTGAAGGAGTTTTGGTTGTAACCATGTCATAGCCAATAACCATGTCATAACCATGTCATAACCATGTCATAACCATGTCATAACCATGTAATAACCATGTCATAACCATGTCATAACCATGTCATAACCATGTAAGAAAAAGGCGTCATAGCCATGTCACTAGCTGACCACTATGATTGCATTAACAATAAAGCGTTATTCTAAAAATAATTATGAATTATAAACGAGAAAACACGTTTCCTTTTTTATTATTCTTATTTTGTAAATGTGCTGTAATTATTTTGTAATTTTCACGCAGTACAGGCAATTACGGACAAAAGAAACGATGTTTTATATTATTAGTCTTAGAAGACTGATCAGCGCATCAAATAATGTTTTTTTTCTTGATCGGCGCGATGCACAATTTATTAACTGGGCCGTACTGCCAGCTAACTGTGACATGTAAAATATTGACGTTGTTTTTTATTCGTTCGTAAATGATAAACGGTTGTGGGTTGCGGAATGACATTGAAAAGAAACAGGCTGAGCGCCGCCCAGTAACACAAACATTTCGCTTCGAAAAAAAAGTTTTTCGTGTTACTTCGAAAAAATTTAGACAAGCATCATCCGTCGACGTACCGGCGAGTTCAATTTCCAATCCTTTCTTTAACGGGTGATAGTATTACTGATACTTGTAGTCGTAAAATATTTGAGCTTCAAATATTAATCAGGACCGTCGCACGTCGACGAGTCCAACTCGGCGCGCGTCCTGGTAGGTTATAAACTTACAAGTCACGCGTCGCGATCCTCATTTGTAATTCATTTCGCCCCCGCTATACCGTGGCGAAAGCCACGATACGACCGCGCAGCCCACAGGCACAACGAAGGGCTGAGGGTAATTAATTTACCGGATGGTGTAGGGAAATTGGTAAAAACACGACTTCAATCTTACATTAATTGTATAAAATTCTAATTTCAGGTAAACAAGCAAAGTTTGTTTTCAATTATTACATATAACTATTAGTTGACGGAT